TTTTATCAAATTGATAACGGAAATAGGCCAACAAAGTGAATAAAGTTTGACCCTGTGAATAGTAAACGTAAAGTTTATTTGTGGACGGAGGGAGTAGATGAATTCCTTTAAATCAAAAATAAATAATGATAATCAATTTTTACTTGATAACTTGTTCAAATTAAAAATTAGATTAGAATTCATATAGATTTTGTTTTATGTGGCCCTCCCCTCCTAGTTTTAGCTCGGAAATCTCGAGAATGCTAAATTAGAGATTTGCCACATTATTTTTAATATCATTAAAATAAATTATGATACTCCCTTCGTTCCACAAAACTCTTTCTCTTTCGTTTTTTTTCTTTCCACAAAACACTTCCATTTTTATTAAAAAACCACTTTTACCCCTACTTTTTCATACCCTACCTATCACATCATACTTTTTCACTAATAACCAAATTATCACATCTTACTTTTTCCCATCACATCAGGAGCAAAATTGGAAAGTCAACCAAAATTACACTTTCCTTATTTTTCCCCAAAGTCAAAACCGGAAGTGTTTTGTGGAACGGAGGAAGTACATATCAAATAAGTGCTTTATAAAGAATATTACACTTTACAAATACAAATAAGTACTCTCTAATTGTTTTAAAAGTTCGTTATTCTTAATACAATTCGTTTTTTCATATAGGGTGTTACATTCTACTCATTATTTATTTTAAATTAAATTCATGAGCAATGATGTGTTCACAAACTTTACAAACTAATCATTTTAGATTTAAATTCTTATTTTAAAATTATTTTAGACTACTTTTTTTTGTTGGATTGAAGTTCTTAAATAGTAAGTTTGTGACAATCTTGTTTGTGAACCAAGCATTTCTCAAATTACATTGTTAGTACTCGGCAAACGAACTTAAATTTCCATTCATTATTGCTTATTTAAAATAGTTTAAATCTCGTAAGCAAAATACTGAAAATAGAATCATCTTCATGTTGTTTGCTCGTTTTAAACATTTAGATCTCATAAATCAAAAGGAAGAAAAATATTTGTTTGTTTATTCACTTTATTGTTTAGGTTAAATGCTTTTACGTATTGTTTTTCTAAGCTAGCTAGCTTCTAAAACACCTCATGTCTCCTGTCACCATTAGTTTTGAGTTTTGACGTTTAGAGAGTATCTTTACTTATTTATGGAGTATTTTTTTTTGGCTATTTACTAGGGATATATTATAATGACTTTTTATAGTTAATTTTTTTAACCTTTGACTTATAACTAAATAAAATATATATTGTTTATTAATTATATAAAATAATATTTTAAGAATATATTTTATGTAATAAATTAAATAAAATTATTTTTGTATAAAAATCTACTACGAGTATCATGTTTAGTTAATTTGAGGTCAAAATCTAACAAATTTGACTGAAAAAAGTTAAAAGAGGACAAATACTCAAGAGTAATACATTCTCTGCCCATAATGGTTGACAAAACAAAGTAAAATTTCAATTTTTTTCAATTTATTGTATTTGAAATTGATATAGAAATAAAAGTTCATATGGAAAATTGAAATTGATATAGAAATTTATGTAGCACAATTATTTATATGGAAAATTTAAAATTAAAAGTTTGGTAAGAAATATTTGAGTAAATAAATATGGGAAAAATATTTCTTTTTATAATAATATTCTTTCCAAATTCTATATTTTTCTCTTCATTTATAACAAATTTTTAGAATAATATATAAAATACTCTCTTAACCTAATTTTTAAAAGACTCCGGGGTATATTGTTTGTTTTAAATTTTACGTCAAAATTTTTAGAATAATATATAAAATACTCTCTTCACCTACAAAACTTTTCTCTTTTCTTTTTTCATTCGTCCCAAAAAATTTTTTTCATTTCTATTAAAAAGTCACTTTTGTATTTTCTTTTTTCATTACGTCAATATTTCTTTTTATAATAATATTCTTTCCNGAAAATTGAAATTGATATAGAAATTTATGTAGCACAATTATTTATATGGAAAATTTAAAATTAAAAGTTTGGTAAGAAATATTTGAGTAAATAAATATGGGAAAAATATTTCTTTTTATAATAATATTCTTTCCAAATTCTATATTTTTCTCTTCATTTATAACAAATTTTTAGAATAATATATAAAATACTCTCTTAACCTAATTTTTAAAAGACTCCGGGGTATATTGTTTGTTTTAAATTTTACGTCAAAATTTTTAGAATAATATATAAAATACTCTCTTCACCTACAAAACTTTTCTCTTTTCTTTTTTCATTCGTCCCAAAAAAATTTTTTCATTTCTATTAAAAAGTCACTTTTGTATTTTCTTTTTTCATTCGTCCAGTTTTTAAATACTAGTAGTAAACAGAATAGTATATATGTATCGACCTTTCTCTTATTCAGTCTTTAAACAAAACTATCCTTGAGTAATTATTAACTTTAATATTTTCAAAATTAATTTAAGAAATAAATCAAAAGTTTAATCTTACGCTATAATTGCGAACCTTATTTACAAATAAGTTCAACAGTTAAGGTTAATTACAAACTTTCATTCCAAATTAATTAAGTTCATACTCACTACATTCAATATTAACTGTTTAATAAAACATTCTTGGTTGATCGAAAAACAAATAAATATAGACATAAAATAGGTATACTAATTCATTTTTCAATATATCAAAAATCTTTCATTAGATAGTTAATATGAAATGCTTGAAGTAATACGTAAGCAATTACCTGTATGTCTAGTTTAATTTACATTGACTTTTTTTGGGATACATGAGCAAATTGTGCAATACTTTTTTCGTTTTCAACAGGGGTGTCACATTTTCTTCTTTAGTTGTTTTAATTTACTTATTTGTCACATCTTGTTATTACGGAGTATGTGGAAAAACATTTTAGAAACCTACTCCTTTCAAATAAAATTCCGTTCGCCCCCATGCCTTTATTTCTCTCATTCACATCTTAAAGCTAAACACTGTCACCAATATAATAAGTAAAAAAAATTAAAAGAAAAGTATTCTTGATATTTTTTTAGTTTACGATGTTTAACTGTATTTTTTTTAAAATTAAATTTATTTCTGTATCTATACTCTATTTAAAAAGAGAGGAACTTTCCCTTGCATTTTCCCACACATACGTGTGAGGCACAATTGGTAAGTGTTGGATGTTAAACCATGTACCGAGTATAATAAAGAAGGTAAGTACTGTGAGAATAAAATTTTAAGATAATTTAATAATGTCCATATACTTACTATTAATAAGGTAATATAATAATGTCTATACGGTAATAGTAGTAATAGTAATAATAATAATAATAATAATAATAATAATATACACGATAATAATAATAAGGAGAATAATACAAATAACGGTAATAATACTAATTGCTAATATCATCTTTTCCATAAAAATGTCAAAGTAGTTTATTATAATAAGTTTCCATTTTTCAATGTCTAGGCTCCTAGGCTTTTCCGAGAATAAAGAAAAAATAAACGGCCGAAAATAAAGAGAATAATGTGCATATGGTAATAACGATGATGATGGTGATGATGGTGATGATGATGATGATGATGATAATAATAATAATAATAATAATAATAACCATGTGGTGTGTAGAATAAAAAAAAGTAAGTATCGTGTATAATAAAATGATAAGGTAATTGTTTCAAAAAAAATGATAAGGTAATTTAATAATGTCTATACTTATTATTAATTAAGTAATAATATAATAATATCTATATGGTAATAATAATAATAATATACACGGTAATGCTAATAATAACAAGAATAATACTCATAAAGGTAATAATATTAATTTCTAATATCATCTTCCCATAAAAATGTCAAAGTAATTTATTATAATAGATTTTCTTTTCTTTTAATATCTACGCTCCTAGGCTTTTTTGAGAATAAAGATAAAAAATAAATGGCCCAAAATAGCGAGAATAACGTGTATATAGCAACAACAACAACAACAACAATAATAATAATAATAATAAAGGTATTGTAATAATAGTAATTGCTAATACCTATATGTGTAAATAACACTAACGTATCAACCACGGTACCATGCATCATATTCACGTATAGAATAGAAAATGTAAGTACCGTGTAGAATAAAATGTAAGGTAATTTAATAATGTATAAACTTATTATTAATAAGGTAATTTGACAATGTCTATATGGTAAAATAATAATAATATACATGGTAATGATAATAAGGAGAATAATACTAATAATTATAATAAAATTAATACTACTAATAAATGTAATAATATTAATTGCTAATAACAAGAATAATACTAATAATACTAATAAAGGTAATAATATTAATTACTAATATCATCTTTCCCATAAAAATGTCAAAGTACTTTATAATAATAAGTTTCTATTTTTTTAATGTTTAGGCTCCTAGGTTTTTTCAAGAATAAATAAAAATATAAACAGTCAAAAATAGCGAGAATAATGTATATATGATGATGATGATAATAATAATAAAATGCGAATAATACAAATAATTATAGGTAATAATAGTAATTGCTAATATACATATGTATAAATAATACTAACATATCCACCACGGTTTGTATTCCGTCGTTATTTTTTCGTTAGTAATAAGTTTAACGACGGATTATTTAATCCGTCGCTAGGCTACGACGAAATTAGCGACGGAATGAGGCGAAGGGATTAACGACGGAAAATTTCCGTCGCTAAGATTAACGACGGTTTTAGCTACCGTTTCTGCATTTTGACCATACAGCGACGGAAATGATATTCCGTCGCCAATTTTACAGCACAAATACAGAAAGCTGCCATTTTTTTCAATTTCACACAACATTCATAACAACCTGCTCTAGCCCAGGAATCCATAGCATCAAACAACAACAAATACTAGAAATGAAGAATACCAAACAACCAAGAATATTCAAATCACCAAACTACAATTAAAATTCAAATAATATTTATAAAAATTCAACTTAACAATCAAATCTAACTCCACTTACATAACCATCAAACTTAAGTTTAATATAATGTTCTTCAATTCTAATAAAATATTCAACAAGCGCGTGCAAACCCCGTATCTCATCAGGTCATCTCTTCTATAATCGACAATAGTTCACGCACTTGGGAAGCTCTAATGTCGTGTAGCTCTTCTCTCAACCTCCGTATCTCATCATCTCGAGGGTCTCACATAGAGATGGTGCTAGCACGTCTTGCCTCACTTGCATGCATTCGTGGTAGGCTTCGTGCGAGATCTCCAACACCATGAACACGATTTTTGGCATCATGTCCTCCGACTGTAGATATAAAAATCTCGTCACGTGTCACATTTAAGCATTATTCTCGAACTGCCTCCTGCGTGACTACGTAGTTTTGCTGCAATACACCAAACATACATGTATATAGATTAACATAAAAAGCAAAATAAGTAGAGTAGTATGAATTCACATCCAATTGAATTCAACGAAAACTAACCATTTATATATACAATATATATTCATTGTCACTTACTGATACTTTTGCTGCCTTCTTATTGACGTAGGTCTTCCCATCATGTTTCTTCGTATGTGTGTGTGTACGAAGAGTACAAGTCAGAAGCTTGTCTACTTTTACCCTAAAACAATAAAATATATAAATAAGTGTAAACATGTCAGTTAAAACATTTAAATGAAAATAATGTTACTAATAATACTTACAAGGCGTGTTTGAGACTCGCGAAAAGCAAGAGACCACCGGTGTGCGTGGCGCTAGCAGGGGCATTCTCGTCACCACCACGACGATTTTTCTTGTTTTGCTTGGTGGATGCCAAGAACTTTGCCGTCTTCTAATACTGTTTAACAACATTTAATACAAATATACAAATAGAAATTCAATAGAAATTTTGAATAGAAATTTTTACATGTGAATATTTCACATTCCAGACTTGAATCTAAGTTTGGCGCAACTCAATCTGTATTTATAAAACCCAATCTGTATTTATAAAACAAGAACTACCAAGTCTTTTATACATCCAATTCCGATTTTTGTGAAAGTCACTATTCTTAGAAATTCATAAAAATAAAATTAACATACTATTAAGTTATAGAATTAAAAACATTAAAAATATAAATGGAACAACCACAATATTCAATAACATACATAATACATATACAATCTTCATATAACATTAATAATACCCAAAATATGCTATTAAACAATTAATTAGCATAAATTCATTCCTCATATAAAAGTTACAATATATAAACACGATATTCATTCACTAAAACTTTCAAGAATATAATTAATTTTTTTTAAAACAAATGACTAAATTTTGAAAAACAAACCCTAATCTAAAATAATTATAAAATTAAAATTAAATTTTTAATAATAAAAAAAATATGTTAACTTAAAAACCCCTAATGTAAGCAACACAATTATAATTAAAAACAAACTAATTCAGAAATTGAAATTGAATAAAAGATGAAAAAATGAAAAACAAAACCTGAGATTTCAAGTGGACGGTGACGGAAGATGGGTAGACGACCGGCGGTTGATGGTGGCGGACGGAGAAGATGATCGGACAACGACCGGCGGATGATGGTGGTGGAAGGCGTCGCGGAGGAGACGAAACTAGACAACAACTCTTTGTGGTTTCTGTCTGCGAAATCGGAGAAACTGAGAGGAGTTCCCGTTTTTAGATCTGTTTTTGGCGACGGATTTAGCGACGGAATTATATTCTTTTACCGATGGAATTTTTCCGTCACCAAACTAATGACGGAAAAATTCCGTCGTTATTTCCGTCGTCTAATATGCCGCGCACTACCTCCCGCCAATACCAAGCGACGGAATGCTGATTCCGTCGTTAATTTTGGTAGGCGTAGAATTCCGTCGCTGAATCCGTCGTCGTTAGCGTCGAATTGCATTCCGTCGCTATAATCCGTCGTTTTTTCGCGTTTTCTTGTAGTGTGTAATGTCGAGGGGCATTTTTTCTGATTTAACGCCCCCGACATTAAACACCCCCCCACAACAGCTATAATGTCGTTGACATTAAAAAAATCTCTCTTGTATATATTCAATCTTTTTTTTTTAATTCAATACATACCACAAATACAAATCTCTCTCTCCTCTTAGAAAAAATTATTCAACTATTTGTTTTTATTTTTAACATGAATGTCTTTGATTTTAACATTCCTTCGTTCAGTCTTAAGCTAAACGAGGAAGCAATGTGGATTTTCTAATCATAATCATACACCGATAATCCGTCGATGTATGATACGCAAACCTCAATGAATCTCCAGGACCGGAGTTGGTTTCGGGGACTCAACCGGAACCAAGTGCACCAACACGCCGGAAGAGTCACAAACTGAAGGACGGCAAGCCGATGATCGAGATGGCATGGTCCATTCAAAAGTGGACCCCGGAGGAAGATCGTTGTTGACGTTCACTTGGGTTGACGTATCCGAGCATCCTATCATTAGTAAATTAAACTTTATTTGTTTTTTAATATATATTGTGTATATGTTATTTTTTTATATACTTGTATTAAAATATTTCTTTCCCTCAATTATATATATTTCGAAAAGGTTCCGAGCAAATGAAGGATATGATGTAGGATCATATCGAGGAGAGGTTCTTTGCAGCGATGAACAAGGACGCCTCCTACCAAACCTGAGACCAACTCACTTCCAAATGGGTCACATCAACCGTAAAGTCCGAAAGCTTATCGGAGTTTACAGGAATGCTTTTGGTCCCGGAGGCCGGATTGTCAAAGGAAAGATGCTCCGCCGAGGTTGAGGCCGATGAGACTACCGGCTCTTCGGAACAAAGCCCTCCCTTCAATCTAGATGATTCTGACGACGAGGATTCCATTCCACGACCGATCGGGAGGAAAAAGGCAAAATTCATTGACTCGGGTTCTGCAGGTCTGGATTTGTTTCCTCTCAAGACGATATCGGCCGGACAATAGTTGAACATTGCGGGCGTTCAATATTAGGGAAGAAGAGAGGGAGAAACGAAGGCAAGAGAAGGAAGGTGTCGAAATAATAAAAACCGGCCTTGATACGTTAACAGAGGCTTCAAACGTATGTTTTACGAGAGAATTGAAGACGAAAAGAGATCAAAGCCAAATATAACTTGTCTTAGTTTTTCATTAATGTATTTTTTATTACATGTTCTTTTTTTAATGTAATTTTTTATTTAATGAACTATTGTTATTTAAATTTAATTAATTAATGAGTTTTATTATTTTAGTTTTACAAAATGTGTATTAAAAAATGTAAAAAATAAAAATTTGAAGCCTCGGGGCTTCAAACTCGTTTCTGTTAAAACTATGAAATAAGTTAAAATTGTAATGGCAGAGAAAAAAAATTTAAAGCTCCGAATGAAATGATGTAAGGTATGATATCATCACCATACCGGATTAGGCGATATAAAAAGAAAAGAATAAGGAAAAAAGAGCAAAGAGAGATGGAAGTGAGGTAACGTAACGGAGTGGGAGAAGGGGCCGAACGGACGGTGAGAAACGTAAGCCGTAACTAGAAGCCAAAACTGGCATTGCGTCAATTGTGATGTCAGCAACCGTCATTTGATTCATCTCTCCCATCACCGTGGCTCCCCAACACGCCCCCCTTCACAACCCCGAACCAGGCGGGCCCAAATGTGGTACTCTACCCTCTCTGACCACCGGTGAATTATGGAAAAAGTATGTTTAGTTGTGAGACCAGTTCCCATGATATTAGAAATCAATGTCATTAGATGACCTGAGCGTGCTACGGTGGCTAATTTGTAAAATTCACAGTTCCTACCCCTCTAACCCCTCGGTAAACCCCACCACCCTGCCCCGACCCAAACACACAACTCTTCTCCTTCAAATACACCCCCAAGTTAATTTTGATATTGGAGTCAAAACCAATGTCATGGGAACCGGCCTCTTTTTTTTTTTGAAGGCGGGAACCGGCCTCTTTAGTTATAATGTAAATTTATTAAAATTTGGTTTATTTTAAAATATTGTTTTGAATTATCAAATTTTTATAATATTTAATTATTTTAAACTATATTTAAATAATAGTCAAAGAGTACCACAATTTCACTAAAAATGTCAATCATGGCAATCTTTTAAGAACCTCGGAGTATGTTATTTCACGTATTCGCAACTTGTTTTCATCAATTTATGTTTATTCTGCATTATTTAATACTCTCTTTTTTCTTTAAAATTAAATCATCTTTAACTATGACTAGGCACAATGATTAAAAAAATGAAATATGAAATTGAAATTAATGCAATGGAGACACAAGTTAAGAATCCCATAATTGTTTTTAAATGAAAAATATAACCTTTTTAGGGACGAATGAAAAAACAAATCTAGAATTCTTTTATTGGACGAAAGAGCATTTATTCTTACTTAAATCAAATCAGATTAGACCTTAATGATATCAAACAAATTCAATCAGATAAGATGAAGAGAACAAACTCTTATTTTCGTGCTTAAATAACTTTCATACTTTAGTGTTTTATACTCTGGTATGTTTCAAAAAAAAATTAATACTCCCTCCGTCCCAAAAAGATCTTCCTGTTTCATTTTTTGCGCATCCTATAAAACACTTCTACACACATCTAAAATGCCTAAAATTTACCACATTTTTCATTTATTGTGGGTAGAAGTTGTTTTAAAAGTTTTTTTGCATTTGAGACGGGATAGAAGTGTTTTATAAGATGCGCAAAAAACGAAACAGGAAGATCTTTTTGGGACGGAGGGAGTACTTATTTTTGTAGATGTTCCATAGGGATAAAGAAATATAAGAGTAATGCTTAGAGCATTGGCAGGGGCGAGTAAAAAAATTCCCTCGCGCTGCCATGAGAGGAAATCCGTTTTTTGCAACCGCGTGGGAAGAGAGAGGAACGAATCTGCCATGCGTGCCTATGGGTGAGACACCTTGCTTTGCGAGGCATCTGCGAGGCAAACCTCAATCCCTTCGCCGCCGAAATTGCAACCCCAATCTGCACCCAAACATCACCCGGCCACACCACCCCAACTACCGTCCACCTTCCCGGCCATCTGTTCGCCTTCGCTGGCACCCCAATCCCTTCGACTTCGTCAGCAATCGTCGTGAAATCGCCGGCCGATCCCTCCGGGATGCGAAATCACCGGCCGCCTGGAAAATCGCCGGCCAATCTTGGAAAATCGCCCGCCGGAGTGCGAAATCGCCGGCCAATCCTTGAAAATCGCCACCCTAAATATGCAATTTTACTGTGCCATGCCACAATTGGAGTGACTTGCCATTGCAAACCATGGAATGCCGCACTCTTTGCACGGTCAATTTTGATTGGTTGGAAGGTAACACGTCATCCCATGACATTCCATTGCAATACTCGCCACTGTTAGTGCTCTTAAGATACGTCTTTTTGTACTTCATCTTGTACACCACACCATCTTCCATCATATATCATCTATTCTCCAATTTTTTTTCATCTCGTGAAAAATGTTTGGTAGACGCTAGGTGGTGTGAAAATCTAGGTACAAAATAGTGCATCCCAAGCATTTTTTTAGAATATAATCTTAGCAATATAATGGAATATAATTGTGCCATATACAACCTGACCTGACCGAAAGTCATTATAGAATCAATGAAATTTAAGAACAAAAAATAAGAATTTTTGTGGTTTCTTTCTCAGAATGTATAAAGAAATACTCTAATTTTCAATTTTGGAAATTTTTTGTGGTTCATAGTCTTTCTCTCTCATCTACATTCACTTGCAACCATACAACTTTATTGTTTTAAATTGTGTTAAACCAAATCAAAAGTTTTTTTTGGAATGAAAGGAGTAGTTTAAAAGTTTTTTTTAGAAATCATCCTAAATAGGACTAAAACATAGAGAAAAGTACCAAAATAAGACTTTGATGTTTTTTTCCGGAATAGGACTTTGCACTGTGGTAATGTGACTTCGCATTGTGGTAATGTGGCAGTGTACATGTGCAAATTACTATACTTTTTTTATAATGTATATGACCATGTTTGGTAATGTAAATCCTATTTTGGGAATAAAAACATGGAAGTCCTATTTTGATATATTTTCAATGTTTTAGTCCTACTTTGGTCTTTCTTTTTTTTGAACGAACATAAGAGTAATATATTGCTAGAATAATTTTAGAGGCCAAAGTTCACTGTCACATTTATATATACAACACACCTACCACGACAACTATGACACTCGAATATGTTCTGAAGTTCGTCTAAAATTGACATTATTTGCAGCAAATTTTCATTTTAATATCAATAATACACAGGCTTTAATCGCAAAACTCCACACTCGTGTTAAATTTAAGGTGAATGGAACATTTCCAAAGGATGAGTGATTGTCTTTTCTAGATCAAGTAGGCACAGATTTTCAGGCAATTACCAAAAGACATCATACTAATGAGGTTATGTTAAATCTACGGAGTATTTATTTGGGTCATGTGGGACTTGTTTGTCCTTCCCAACATTGTCATCATTAAAACAATGAGAAGAAAAAAACAAGTTGGATATGATCAATCAAATTCACATTCTAAAGTCAGTAGAAGATTTCTCAAAGTTAGATTGTTCAAATCTGCCACTGCCGTTTATATAGGCAATAAAGTCAAATTTGAAATTAATACAAATCTTTGAATGCCCACGTTCACTTTTTTTCTTCATAACGGCGATTTGTTGCGAAAATGCACCATAGTTTCAACAATCCACAAAAAAAGGGGGGTGTAAATGTTCAAAAATTCGTGTTGTTCAACCTGCAAAGGTGGCGATCACTTGTTCACAGCTTTAAGGCTGAGGTCTTGAAGGTTGAGCAGGAGATCGCCCGAGTCTAAGTAGACTCGGTTGGACGAAAATGATATAGTGTTTGCAATATCTCGGGCTGCTTCAATCTTCCTGAGTGTGATGAATGCCGGGTTATTTGCTATTGCTTGGCCAATCAGTTGTGCGCTCTTCGCTTCACCCTGCAACCCCCACCCAACACTTTTGAAATGATTCTTGGTTTTAGGATATAAAGCTACTCCACTCCATACTGATTTTGCTTTGTAGGACTGGCTTATGCACTATTGACTGTGTTGGTTAGTCTAAACCTTCTTATGTTCAACCCAAAATTTTAAAATGACAGTTTCGGGTTCGGTAAAGTCTGGCTAAATGTGAGATCTAAGCTTGTTTTAAAATGTAATATTGAATTTAAACAAATGAAAAAAAGGATGATAAATTGTACTAACCTGTGCCCGGATAATGGCACTGCGTTTGTCCTGCTCAGCTTTCTCGACAATGAACTTGGCTCTCTCCGCTTCCTGTGCTGCCACCTGTTTGGCTTCAATGGCAGCAGTGAACTCCTTCCCAAAAGTCAGACTGGTAATGGACACGTCGTCAAGTGCAATGTTAGTGTCAAAATCTCACGTATCTTCCTGCTCACTGCCTATACACCACAAACAGTTCATCGGTTTTTTATTATTTAAAATAAGGGATTTGTTTTAGGGGAGGTGAACTTCTATGTTTTAACAGAACAACAACAACAACAACCCAGTTGAATCCCACTACAGTAGGGTCTGGGGAGGGTGTGTGTACGCAGACCTTGCCCCTACTCGGAAGTAGGGAGGCTGTTTCCAAGAGACCCCCGGCTCAACCTGCACAAAAATATGGTAGAGAACACAATATAACAGGGAAACAGGATATAACAGGATAAAACACCAAGTACAATGAAATGAAAGTCCAGCAAGCAAAAGTAGAAGATTCCAATCAAACACAACACACTACAAAAAACCTCTGCAGCACCGCGCTCCTAACCAGCTACTTTAATCCTAGTCCGCCAAAGGTTCCTATCTAAAGCCATATCCTCATTCAGGGTGAGAAGTCCTAAATCCTGCCTAATCACCTCCTTCCAATTCTTCCTAGGTCTACCCCTTCCCCTACTTCCCCCGATAACCGTGATCCTCTCGCACCTCCGTACAGGGGCATCAGCATCCCGACGTCTCACATGCCCAAACCATCTCAACCTCGCTTCCCGCAACTTATCTTCCACCGGCGCCATGCCTACCTGACGTCGAATAACTTCGTTCGAAATCCTATCCAACCTTGTCTTCCCACACATCCATCGTAACATCCGCATCTCCGCCACATGCAGACAACGCACATGAGTCTTCTTAACTGCCCAACACTCTGCC